AGCCCCAGCACACCTACCATAGAGCCCCTGCGCCACGGCGTTCCTCTGCGCGTGCCTTCTGTGGATCCGGCGTCGAGCCGTTTGAAAGATATTCCAGTAGAGGCCCAGGATGACGAGCAGCGGCACGTAGAACGTGGAGCAGGTGGCGAAGATCTGGTAGCCGACGTCCTGCGAGGGCAGGCAGCGCTGCTGCACATTGATGCGGTGCAGGTACTCTGGGTCCTTCCAGCCGAACTGCGGCGCCAGGGAGACGATCAGCGCCACGCCCCACACCAGCACGATCATGGTGACGATTCGCTGCTTATTCCGCGTGTGGATGTAGTCCACGTTGGTCACGGCCCAGTATCGGTCCATGGCGATGGCGACCAGGTGCAGAATGGAGGCGGTGCAACACAGAACGTCACTCGACGTCCACATGTCACACAGCTCAGGGCCAAGGATCCAGCCCTGCGATATCTGAACAACACGTTCACACACGAATGATTTAACACATGGCATGCAAACTTTGCGATAGTAATAAGAAAAATCTACATATGTCAATGCTTCCCCCCCCTTTTTTTCCTCCCCCGCACACACAAACCCACCACCACCACCACCTCAAATAAAATAAAATACAATAAAAATGAAAGAAAAACAAACTAACTAGGACCAACAAGTTGTAAGGGCTGCCGAACCCTTGTGTGGCCTCATGTGGCCTCCCTGGGTTCAAGAGAGAGAGAGAGTCAGATTGTCAAGTTCTTCAAGCTGGTTCTTCAATGCTCTACACTGTATGCAACAAGCATGGCAGTGACTCACGTAACTACTCTTCGTTCAAAATGGTCCCACCCGAAAGGTAAATAACTCTTAAATTCGGTGTACAAATTACGTGAATCGAATTTTTCTTGTATTGAATTAATTGAATTGGTTTGATTTATTGCGATTTCATTTTACTGAATAATCGTGAATTGAATACATGTGAGTTGGCTTGAATTGGACTGACTTATTCGTTGAATTGTTTTCGAATTGGTGTTGATTATTACTGAAGTGACGTTTGAAATGTTGAATTAAACTGGATTGGTTTAAAGTAGTTGTAATTGTGGAAAATTAGGGATGTACACTTGGCATATAGGGGTTATTTCCTCGGCCCCACCCAATAGGTAT